GACCGTGTCGGTGATGGTGACCGTGTCGGTGATGGTGACCGTGTCGGTGATGGTGGCCGTGTCAGTGATGGTGACCGTGTCGGTGATGGTGACCGTGTCGGTGATGGTGACCGTGTCGGTGATGGTGACCGTGTCGGTGATGGTGGCCGTGTCGGTGATGGTGCGATCCCATGGCACCTGAGGTCTCTCCCGTGACCTCCTGCCAGCAGTGAGCCTTCAAGACGCTTCACGCGGCCTCAAAGTGCACATAGCCTGGCACAAACGCCGTGGTGACGTCACCGACACTCAGTGGCGAATGGCGGTTGTTGTTGGTGGTGTCGTGTGTCGGTGTGTGTTCTTTGTGATTCATAATTGTGTTTTTGGGGGTTCGTAAAATGTTTGCGCCGTATCCCCCTCCTCCACCCGACGGCGCAATTAACAAAGTGGCCACGTGAGCTCAACGTCGCCCAAATGTATCACAGCCTCAGCAGCGCCAGCCCCGCTAGCGCTGTGTCTACTGCGTTTGTTGAACTTCTTTCGCACCGCACCTAGCCGACCGTGCTCGTCGGAGGCGCTGCTGTTGGAAAGAGCTGATCCACGCACTGCACATAGAGCAATGGGGTTATAGTCCGACGTTTCGCCGGCAGTCACCACGAGCAGCAGCAGCAGCAGCAACAGCAGGCAGTTGCCAGAATGTGCATTTGTCTGTGTAGTTGTTGTTGTTGCTGTTGATGTTGTTGCAGACACAGTGAGCTAAGCGCGGGGGGCTGGGTGGGTGGCAGTGCCCGGGGTCACCCACGCTGCCGCTAATCTCAAATGGTATCAGAGGTGCCGCGTAATTAGTTGTCAGCGCAGTGGAGCGCGGAGTGGGCCTGGCGGTGACTCTCTCCTCCCTCATCCTCGGCGAGGCGCCGCGACTCATGAACAGCCGCCGCTGCCGCTGCCAGGGAGTTGTCCGTGCTGCGCGTCTTTGTCAAAGACAAAGATTCACCCCCCCCCCCCCCAGCTGTAACAGACTGTTGGGGCAAGTGCTGTTAGCGGGTAGCATCCTATGAAGGCCGACACGGCACACCAGGGGGTGGGTGGCCAATACCACGCCCGACCGCCTTTGTCTCACGAGTGCCGATGTTGTTTACACACAGCAACAGGTACTCATTTGAGGCTCAGTCGACCTAGGGGAGCGGTAGTGTAGCGCTTAGCGCGCACAGACAACACCAGTGACGATTATCTGAGCCGGTCCAGGGCCTTCTCCAAGGTCCACTCAGCCTCAAATACCTGGTGCGGTGTGTAAACATCAGCACGGGCCACTCACCCACTCATGCGCCGCGCCGACCTTCAAAGGTGCTCCTCGTTAGCAGCACTTGCCCCAACAGTCTCTTGCAGGCTACACGGGGGATCTTTGTCTTTGTGTGAGTGCCCCGTGCAGGCCTTCATAGGTGCTTGCTATTGGCGAACTGCACTTGCCCCAACAGTCTCTTGCAGGCTACACGGGGGATCTTTGTCTTTGCACTCATTCTATAATTTACCGGATCGCGAATTACAGTTGCGCTTCGCCGCCTCAATGGCTCTCAAGCGAATCCCCTCCCCCCCCCCTCCACCCCCGTATCTAGATAAGTGTAACAGCCCCCCCACCCAAACTCGCCCCCCCCCCCCCCCCCCCAGTAGAGAAGGTCCTGCAGGAGCGAGATAGTGCGCGCGCGGTAATGGTAGCTGCGTCACATCCACAATCATATCGGGGCTACTACATAAACCACTGCCCCCCCCCCACTCCCCTAGAAGCCTACGGGTCTCTATGCAAATCTTTGGGTCTATGTGTAAGTCCATGGGTCTCTGTGTAAGTCCATGGGTCTCTGTGTAAGTCCATGTGTCTCCGTGTAAGCCTATGGGTCTCTGTGTAAGTCCATGGGTCTCTGTGTAAGTCCATGGGTCTCCGTGTAAGTCTATGGGTCTCTGTGTAAGTCTATGGGTCTCTGTGTAAGTCCATGGGTCTCTGTGTAAGTCTATGGGTCTCTGTGTAAGTCGATGGGTCTCTGTGTAAGTCCATGGGTCTCTGTGTAAGTCTATGCGTCTCTGTGTAAGTCCATGGGTCTCTGTGTAAGTCCATGGGTCTCTGTGTAAGTCCATGGGTCTCTATGGAAGTCCATGGGTCTCTATGGAAATCTATGAGTCTCTGTGTAAGTCCATGGGTCTCTATGGAAGTCGTTTGGTCTTTGTATACGGAGGTCTTTGTATAACTGGGTCTATTTTCTAAATGTCGATGGGCGTCTCTGAAGGTCTATGAGTCTCCATGTGTGTCTATGGGGTTCTATCTAAGTCTACGAGTCTCTATGTAAGTCTACGGGTCTCTATGTGAGTCTCTGGGTCTCTATCTAAGTCTACGGGTCTCTATGTGTGTCTATGAGTCTCCATGTGAGTCTATGGGTTTCCATCTAAGTTTATGGGTCTCTATGTAAGTCTGTGGGTCTCTATGTGTGTCTATGGGTCTCTATGTACGTCTGTGGGTCTCTATGTGTGTCTATGGGTCTCTATGTGAGTCTGTGGGTCTCTATGTGTGTCTATGGGTCTCTATGTGAGTCTATAGGTCTCTATGTGAGTCTCTGGGTCTCTATCTAAGTCTACGGGTCTCTATGTGTGTCTATGAGTCTCCATGTGAGTCTATGGGTTTCTATCTAAGTCTACGGGTCTCAATGTGAGTCTATGGGTCTCTATGTGAGTCTATGGGTTTCTAAGTCTACGGGTCAATGTGTGTCTACGGGTCTCTATGTGTGTCTATGCGTCTCTATGTGAGTCTATGGGTTTCTATCTAAGTCTACGGGTCTCAATGTGAGTCTATGGGTCTCTATGTGAGTCTATGGGTTTCTAAGTCTACGGGTCAATGTGTGTCTACGGGTCTCTATGTGTGTCTATGCGTCTCTATGTAAGTCTATGGGTTTCTATCTAAGTCTATGGGTCTCTATGTAAGTCTGTGGGTCTCTATGTGTGTCTATGGGTCTCTATGTAAGGCTGTGGGTCTCTATGTGTGTCTATGGGTCTCTATGTGTGTCTATGGGTTTCTATCTAAGTCTACGGGTCTCTATGTAAGTCTGTGGGTCTCTATGTGTGTCTATGGGTCTCTATGTGAGTCTATGGGTCTCTATGTGAGTCTATAGGTCTCTATGTGAGTCTCTGGGTCTCTATCTAAGTCTACGGGTCTCTATGTGTGTCTATGAGTCTCCATGTGAGTCTATGGGTTTCTATCTAAGTCTACGGGTCTCAATGTGAGTCTATGGGTCTCTATGTGAGTCTATGGGTTTCTAAGTCTACGGGTCAATGTGTGTCTACGGGACTCTATGTGTGTCTATGCGTCTCTATGTGAGTCTATGGGTTTCTATCTAAGTCTACGGGTCTCAATGTGAGTCTATGGGTCTCTATGTGAGTCTATGGGTTTCTAAGTCTACGGGTCAATGTGTGTCTACGGGTCTCTATGTGTGTCTATGCGTCTCTATGTGAGTCTATGGGTTTCTATCTAAGTCTATGGGTCTCTATGTAAGTCTGTGGGTCTCTATGTGTGTCTATGGGTCTCTATGTAAGGCTGTGGGTCTCTATGTGTGTCTATGGGTCTCTATGTGTGTCTATGGGTTTCTATCTAAGTCTACGGGTCTCTATGTAAGTCTGTGGGTCTCTATGTGTGTCTATGGGTCTCTATGTGAGTCTATGGGTTTCTATCTAAGTCTACGGGTCTCTATGTGAGTCTCTGGGTCTCTATCTAAGTCTACGGGTCTCTATGTGAGTCTATGGGTCTCTATGTGTGTCTATGGGTCTCTATGTGAGTCTATGGGTTTCTATCTAAGTCTACGGGTCTCTATGTGAGTCTATGGGTATCTATGTGAGTCTATGGGTCTCTATGCGGGTCTCTGGGTCTATATCTAAGTCTACGGGTCTCTATGTGAGTCTATGGGTCTCTATGTGAGTCTATGGGTTTCTATCTAAGTCTACGGGTCTCTATGTGAGTCTATGGGTCTCTATGTGTGTCTATGGGTCTCTATGTGAGTCTGTGAATGTAAGCGGTGTAGCGTGGTGTGCGGTGGGGTAGTGTGGTTAGCGCGGGTGGTTAGGTATGGTGTGAAAGAAGTTCAACATCCAATATACATACATACGTGGTGCAGTGTAGCGTGGTGTGGTGTAGCGTGGTGCAGCGTGGTGTAGCGTGGTGTAGCGTGGTGTAGGGTGGTGTAGTGTGGTGTAGCGTGGTGTAGCGTGATGTAGTGTGGTGTAGCGTGGTGTAGCGTGGTGTAGTGTGGTGTAGCGTGGTGTAGCGTGGTGTAGTGTGGTGTAGTGTGGTGTAATGTGGTGTAGTGTGTTGTGGGGTGGTGTAGCGTAGTGTAGTGTGGTGTAGCGTGGTGTAGCGTAGTGTAGTGTGGTGTAGCGTGGTGTAGTGTGGTGTAGTGTGGTGTAGTGTGGTGTGGTGTAGCGTGGTGTAGCGTGGTGTAGCGTGGTGTAGTGTGGTGTAGCGTGGTGTAGCGTGGTGTAGTGTGGTGTGGTGTAGTGTGGTGTAGCGTGGTGTAGTGTGGTGTAGTGTGGTGTAGTGTGTTGTGGGGTGTTGTGGGGTGGTGTTGTTAAAATGTAAATGTAAGTCGTATAATAATAATAAGTCGCCGGGTCTCTTATGATTATAACAACGTGATTATTATTATTATTGTTTCCGTGCTCATCACCACGAACCCCGTGAAAGTCTCTGCCGAGTCTCAGCCCCCGCCCAGGGGAGGTTCCTGCCACGGCAGCCGCGTCCCGGCCACCAAAGCTCCCCCGGGTAGCCTTCACAGGCTGCTGGGGCAAGTGCTGTTAGCGAGTAGCGCCTATGAAGGCCGTCACGGCACACGAGGGGGTGGGTGGCCAGCACCACGCCCGACCGCCTTTGTCTCCCCAATTGGCAATGTTCACCACACACCGCACCAGGTACTCATTTGAGGCTGAGTCGACCTAGAGGAGGCCCAGAAACGGTTCAGACAATCGTCACTGGGGGTTGGTGGCTGCGAGCGGGAATGGAACTCGGGCTCGATGGGTTCGTATCGCAGGACGCTGACGGCTCCGCGACCGCACAGATCGATGCAATAATCCAGAGCGAGGCTCCTCGCTCCTGGCTGGGTACACCTCCAGGCCAACTCCACACGACGCCCCCCTCACCCCCCGGGTCGTGGTTCTCTGAGCGCCCATGAGCACCTCAGGGGAGTCAGCAACGGGGGTCTCCTCACCCGGGGTGGGGGGGGGGGGCAGAGGGGGTAGCGGGGGGAGGGGGAGCCGGAGCGAGCCGGGGATCCCCAAGCGGCCCCTCCCCCTCCTCCCCCTCCCGTCTCTCCCGTCACTCTCTCCATCTCGCTCTCTCCATCTCGCTCTCTCCATCTCGCTCTCTCCCGTCACTCTCTCCATCTCGCTCTCTCCATCTCGCTCTCATTCTCCCGCCTGCGTCTCCCTCCCTCCCTCCCTCTCGCCCGCACGCCACCCGCAGCCCCCTCCCCCCTCCCCTCCCCCCAAGCGCCAACGTCAAACAGCGAGTGAGCTGGGTGGAGGGAGGCGAGGGAGGGGGTGGGAGGGGGTGGGAGGAGGAGGGGGGGGGCGTCAGGGGGAGGAGGGAGCGGCGGAGTAGAGGGAGGGGGGAGGGTGGCGGGGGATCAAACAGAAGAAACTCGCTCCGACTCGCGCTCCGCACACGCCGCCAGACGCGCACGCGAGCGCGACTCTCCACTACTCACCACTACTCACCACTACTCACCACTAGTACACTCTCCACTACTCACCACTACTACTCACCACTCACCACTACTCACCACGACTCACCACTACTCACCACTAGTACACTCACCACTAGTACACTCACCACTAGTACACTCACCACTAGTACTCACCACTAGTACACTCACCACTACTCACCACTACTACTCACCACTAGTACACTCTCCACTACTCACCACTAGTACACTCACCACTAGTACTCACCACTAGTACACTCACCACTAGTACTCACCACTAGTACACTCTCCACTACTCACCACTAGTACACTCACCACTAGTACACTCACCACTAGTACTCACCACTAGTACACTCACCACTAGTACTCACCACTAGTACACTCTCCACTACTCACCACTACTCACCACTACTCACCACTACTAGTACACTCACCACTAGTACACTCACCACTACTCTCCACTACTCACCACTAGTACACTCACCACTAGTACACTCACCACTAGTACTCACCACTAGTACACTCACCACTAGTACTCACCACTAGTACACTCTCCACTACTCTCCACTACTCACCACTAGTCACCACTACTAGTACACTCACCACTAGTACACTCACCACTACTCTCCACTACTCACCACTAGTACACTCACCACTAGTACACTCACCACTAGTACACTCACCACTACTCTCCACTACTCACCACTAGTACACTCACCACTAGTACACTCACCACTAGTACTCACCACTAGTACACTCACCACTACTCACCACTACTACTCACCACTAGTACTCACCACTAGTACACTCACCACTACTCACCACTACTCTCCACTACTCACCACCACTAGTACACTCACCACTAGTACACTCTCCACTACTCACCACGACTCACCACTACTCACCACTACTCACCACTACTAGTACACTCACCACTCTCCACTACTCACCACTACTCACTACTACTCACCATTACTGCTCACCACTAGTACACTCACCACTAGTACACTCACCACTAGTACACTCACCACTACTAGTACACTCTCCACTACTCACCACTACTCACCACTACTACTCACCACTAGTACACTCACCACTAGTACACTCACCACTAGTACACTCACCACTACTCACCACTACTAGTACACTCACCACTACTACTCACCACTACTCACCACTACTACTCACCACTACTCACCACTACTCACCACTAGTACACTCACCACTACTAGTACACTCACCACTAGTACACTCACCACTACTCACCACTACTCACCACTAATACACTCACCACTAGTACACTCACCACTAGTACACTCACCACTACTCACCACTACTACTCTCCACTACTCTCCACTACTCACCACTCTCCACTACTCTCCACTACTCACAACTAGTACACTCACCACTACTCACCAGCACTCACCACTACTCACCACTACTCACCACTAGTCCACTCACCACTACTCACCACCACTCACCACTACTCACCACTACTGACCACTACTCACCTCAAGACTCACCACTACTCACCACTACTCACCACTACTCACCACCACTACTCACCACTACTCACCACTACTCACCACTCTCTACTACTCACCACTACTCACCACTACTCACCACTCTCCACTACTCACCACTACTCACCACTACTCTCTACTACTCACCACTACTCACCACTACTCACCACTCTCTACTACTCACCACTCTCCACTACTCACCACTCATCACTACTCACCACTACTCACCACTCTCTACTACTCACCACTCTCCACTACTCACCACTACTCACCACTACTCTCCACTACTCACCACTACTCACCACTACTCTCTACTACTCACCACTACTCACCACTCTCTACTACTCACCACTCTCCACTACTCACCACTCATCACTACTCACCACTACTCACCACTCTCTACTACTCACCACTCTCCACTACTCACCACTACTCACCACTACTCTCCACTACTCACCACTACTCTCCACTACTCACCACTACTCACCACTCTCCACTACTCACCACTACTCACCACTCTCCCCTACTCACCACTACTCACCACTCTCCACTACTCACCCACCGTTCACACTCAAAACTCACCGCTCTCCCTTCACACTCCTCAACGGCGGCAAGCCGTCAGCGGCTCTGACAGATGTAGAGGACAGGTCGAGGGCTCTCTCGGGCGAGAGGCAGTGAGCGAGCGAGCGGGGGGGGGGGGGTGCAAGAGGCACCTCGAGTTAGAACCACCGGAGAGGCGACACGGGGCGCCACTGGGGGCCGCGATGGAGCGCGGCGTGGCCGAGGTGCTGATGATCAGCGAGCGCAAGAGCGCCGCGTTCGGACCGCGGGCCCTGCAGCAGCTCCAGACGGGGGGGGCCCGCGGGGCCGCGAGAAGCCGCCGCCGGCGGTGGCGTCGGCGGCGTCGTGGGCCACTTCCGAGGCCTCGGAGAAGCGACCGCAGCCGTGGCAGCGGCCGCGGTGTGGAACTCTTCGGGTCGACTTCACGGCTACCACCGCGACTCGGGCTCGGCGCTGCATCACCACGGCCACCACCACCACGGCCACCACCACCACCACCCTCACCACCACAACCTCCTCCTCCAGGGCGGCGTCGGCGGCGGTGTGGGAGGAGGTGGTGGTGGTGGTGGTGGAGGTGGTGGTGGAGGACCCTCGGCGCACGAAAGCAGCGGGGAGGGAACCGCGGACGATGACAGCGATCGCTCAGAGAGCGCCGAGGCTGGCAGCGGCGGAGGAGACCCGGGGGGGCTCGGAGCCCCGGGCTCGAGCCTCGTGGGGGTGACGGTGGCCGGCGCGGCTCCGGGAGCTCTGGCGGCAGCCGCGGCCGCCGCGTGCAAGGTCCGCGGCGCGCTGAGCCGCAAGAACAAGGAGCAGAGGGCGCTGCGCTTGAGCATCAACGCGCGCGAAAGGAGGCGCATGCACGACCTGAACGACGCCCTGGACGACCTGCGGGCCGTGATCCCGTACGCGCACAGCCCCTCGGTGCGCAAGCTCTCCAAGATCGCCACGCTGCTCCTGGCCAAGAACTACATCCTCATGCAGGCGCAGGCCCTCGAGGAGATGCGTCGCCTCGTCCTCTACCTCAACCAGGGCCAGCCCGTGCCGGCCTCGGCGGTGGCCCTGCAACCGGCGACTCTCGCCACTGGCCTGGGACCAGCGCTCGTTCCGCCGTCGCTCGGCGCCTACGACCAGGCGGCCTTCGGCTTCCAGGCGTCGGCAGCGGCGGCGGTGGCAGCTGCGGCCGCTGTGGCCGCGACCACAGGCGGGGGAGGAGGAGGAGAGAAGTGCGGCTGCTCGGGGTTTCACGGCAGCGGCTGCAAACACTGCGACGACAGCTCGTGAGGTGTCGCGGCGGCGGCGGCGGGGAGGAGGAGGAGGTGGTGGTGGCCGGCACCACCGCAGCCACTGCCACGTGGTTGTTTCATTGATTGGTGGGACTTGGAATGAGCGTGGGACTCGGCACCGAACTGTGGAGTTGTGGAGACAAAGAGGCTGGCGGTGGCGGTGAGACCGCAGAGAGAGGGAGATGTGGTGAGCCTTCGACACTTTACCCTGATGGCCTCAACGTGCACGTAGCCTGGCACAAAGCGCTGTGGTGACGTCTCCGCCACTTAGTGGCGATTGACGGCGGCTGTTTGTTGTTGTTATTGTTGTTGTTGTTGCTGTTCGAGACGATGCTGAGTGTGTGTGCCTTGTGAGATGTGTGTGGTGGTGATGATGATGGTGGTGGTGAGGGTGGTGAGGATGGTGAGAATGGTGAGGATGGTGGGTTATTACACTGGGGGGGTGAGGAGACGGCGATGATTAGCCGTGGTGGTGTCAATGGTGAGCCCCTGTCGGTGGAGTCGAGGATGGTGAGAGGTTGTGAGTAGAGACGGTGGGGTTGGTGATGGTTGTGTGTCTGCGTGCGGGGGAAGGACAGCAAACTAAACATACATAGAAGCATTTCTGAATAAATTGATTGATGATGATGGAATAATGTCGAGGTGAGTGTCGAGTGATGAAGAGCAGCGAGGAGTGGTGAGCGGTGGCTATCGGTGGTGAGCATCCGTTGTGTGCGTTAGGAGGACGTTGCGGTGACGTTGGGGTGTGGTGAGTTCACGATGCTGGCCACGCCACCAGTACGCCAAGATATCTCGGCGATGTGAACTCTGCCTCCTCCGATGTTTGCACCGCAGTGCACGAGACATGGGTTCGGGTCCGGGACCGTGATGATGATGTGATGATATTATTAACATCATATTACCACAATAACGATGGTGGTGACGATGGTGGTGGTGGTGTCTAAACTGCATCTGTTTCGGCACGAGAACGAGCGGACTGCTCATGGCCTCTTGCTGCTGTGTTCCAACTTTCCACGCGTCACGCGAATAATACACACAGGTACAGAAACACACGTGCTGTACACACACGTACAGAAACACACGTGCTGTACACACACGTACAGAAACACACGTGCTGTACACACACGTACAGACACACGCATGCTGTACACACACGTACAGAAACACACGTGCTGTACACACACGTATAGACACACACGTGCTGTACACACACGTACAGACACACACGTGCTCTACACACACGTACAGAAACACGCGTGTGTCTGTACACACACGTACAGAAACACACGTGCTGTACACACACGTATAGACACACACGTGCTGTACACACACGTACAGACACACACGTGCTCTACACACACGTACAGACACACACGTGCTGTACACACACGTACAGACACACGCGTGCTCTAAACACACGTACAGACACACACGTGCTGTATACACACGTACAGGTACACGCGTGCTGTACACACGTGCTGACACATACGTACAGACACACGTGCTATACACACACGTGCTATACACACACGTGCTATACACACACGTGATGACACACACGTACAGACAGACACGTACAGACACACACGTGCTATACACACACGTACAGACACACACGTGCTGTACACACACGTACAGACACACACGTCCAGACACACACGTGCTGTACACACACGTACAGACACACACGTACAGACACACACGTACAGACAGGCACGTACAGACACACACGTGCTGTACACACACTTACAGACACACACGTGCTCTACACACACGTACAGACACACATGTGCTTTACACACACGTACAGGCACACACGTGCTGTACACACGTACAGACACACACGTGCTCTACACACACACGTACAGACACACACGTGCTGTACACACACGTGCTGTACACATGCGTACAGACACACACGTACAGGCACAAACACAGGATACACACACACAACACACACGGACAGCACACAACACACTCACAGGATACACACACACAACACACACACAGGATACACACACGCAACACACACGCAGGATACACACACACAATACACACAACACACACAGGATACACACACACAACACACACAGGATACACACACACAACACACTCACAAGATACACACACACAACACACACAGGATACACACACAATACACACAACACACACAGGATACACACACACAATACACACAACACACACAGGATACACACACACACAACACACACAGGATACACACACACAACACACACAGGATACATCTTCTTTGGTTCTTTCGGTAAAGTCACGTAGAATGAGAATAAAATAATAAAATAAAATAAGACAATAAAATTCTCACGACGTTTCGGCCACAACACAAGTAGCCTTCTTCAGGTGAAGGAACAAAACTGTCGGGACGACATTGAAGCTCTGTCGTCCCGACAGTTTTGTTCCTTCACCTGAAGAAGGCTACTTGTGTTGTGGCCGAAACGTCGTGAGAATTTTATTGTCTTATTTTATTTTATTATTTTATTCTCATTCTACGTGACTTTACCGAAAGAACCAAAGAAGATGAATCCTTGCAGTCACGAAAGCTTTAAATCGAAACACACAGGATACACACACAATACACACACACACAGGATACACACAACACACTCACAGGATACACACACCTCACACACACACAGGATATACACAGACAACACACACAGGATACACACACACAATACACACAACACACACACACACAGGATACACACACAATACACACAACACACACACACAGGATACACACCCACAACACACTCACAGGATACACACACCTCACACACACGCAGGATATACACATACACAACACACACAACACAAACACACAGGATACACACAATACACACAACACACACACAGGATACACACCAACAACACATTCACAGGATACACACACCTCACACACACACAGGATATACACACAACACAGAGGATACATACACACAATACACACAACACACACACAGGATACACACACACAACACACTCACAGGATACACACACCTCACACACACACAGGATATACACACACAACACACACAGGATACACACACACAACACACACAACACAACACACACAGGATACACACACACAATACACACAACACACACGAACAGCACACAACACACTCACAGGATACACACAACACATACACGCACCACGTGCTAATGTATTACGCTTGATTGACAGAACTTGAATAATAAAATTAAGTCTAAATTACACAAAGCCTCGTGAAGCTCTCCTGAATATCTCTCACCGTATCATCATGGTCTATCCACTGCGAGATAGAGGCCTTTCCAGCTGATTTTGCATCAGTGCCCCATCTCCCCCCACCCCCCCATCACCCCCCCCCCCCATCTCCATCCTTTAGCTGCCGCTCCGTCCTTAGTCTCGACCACCCACGTCATCGCCCCCTCCAGCCGTCACGTGCCCCGCGCCGAGCGCCCACCCATTGCTCTGAGCGGCCAGATGCGATTGCCTCGTGAGTAGCCCCAAACCCCCACATCGACTCATCCTCATCACGATCCCCATGAGCAGACGGACAGGCAGGAGGCAGGCAGGCCGGAGTTGGTGTGTCCCCTGCACGTGTCGTCATTTGTCGTTTCCACTTTCCTCTCTGTCTTGCCGTGCTCACGTGGCTCAAGCAGCGGGCACATCTTCCTGTCACCCATCTCTTACGGCGTCGTCACAAGCCATTCTCTGTGAGGGTCGTCCTCTCGCTCCGTTTCCTTCCCATTTTTTACAGAAAAAGAACACCTTTCGTGTTCCCGTTGCTCTCCATCCTACCACGTGTGTGTGTGTGTGTGCGTGTGCACCGAAATCGATTCAGGTTCGGTTAACGACGCCCTGCGACGATGCAGCCCGTGACGTGGCAAGCTAAGCAGGTGTTGAGCCTGCGTAGTGATTGGATGAGTGAGCACCTCGCTGCGTAACATGTGGTGCAGGCTGCGGTGCGGGTCGACGTAGAGGCATCAATGATTGTACTGCACGGATATGGCCCTCTACACTTTCTACGCTTGCCCGCGTTTGCCGACTCGTACCCACCAAACGTTGTGAAGTATGGTCAAATACCCATGGTAGTTAATCTCATGGTAGTTGATCTCATGGAAGATGATATCATGGTACTTAATCTCATGGTAGTTGATCTCATGGAAGATGATATCATGGTAGTTGATCTCATGGAAGTTGATCTCATGGTAGTTGATCTCATGGTAGATGATATCATGATAGTTGATCTCATGGTAGTTGATCTCATGGTAGATGATCTCATGGTAGTTGATCTCATGGTAGTTGATCTCATGGTAGATGATCTCATGGTAGTTGATCTCATGGTAGTTGATCTCATGGTAGATGATCTCATGGTAGTTGATCTCATGGTAGATGATATCATGGTAGTTGATCTCATGGTAGTTGATCTCATGGTAGTTGATCTCATGGTAGTTGATCTCATGGTAGATGATCTCATGGTAGATGATATCATGGTAGTTGATCTCATGGTAGTTGATCTCATGGTAGTTGATCTCATGGTAGATGATCTCATGGTAGTTGATCTCATGGTAGATGATCTCATGGTAGATGATCTCATGGTAGTTGATCTCAGGGTAGTTGATCTCAGGGTAGTCCCAGCGTGGGGCGAGTCTAAACTAAACTATGTTTATGTTACCAGGCCAATGCCCACTGAGCGCCTGTCTCGCTCTTTCTTCAGCAGGAACCTGGCGATCACAAATGATCGCTCAACCAAGTGGGGCTGATCATCACCGTCGCGTGTAAATCTGTAGCAGCAGCAGCAGCAGCAGCCAAAGTACCGTAGACGCCGTGATGTTGCTTCTAAATGTGGAAGGAAAAGCCGGAGGACTCGGGAAAAACAATCCACCACGGAGGGAGAGAGGAAGACACGCACACTCAGGATCGTGATTGAACCCACGACCTGCTGTATGCCAGGCGAGGGAGTTGACATCTCCTAGCCACCGTGGCACAGACGTGGACGGTTCCACAGTGAGGGTGCCAGACCACAGCCCATGGCGACTGATTTACACGGCCAACGCAGGAGGGGGATGACTTGGAATTCCCAATCGCCCTCCCCGCCTCTTCCCCACTCGTTTCAGACGACGCTTGTCGCATCACTCACCCTCAGATTGGTCACTTTGAGACGTTGGCAACCGCTAAAGCGATGCCACTGTGGGTGGTGCCGACTAAGGGATATACACAGTCACAATGAAGGTGTTTGGGTTAGAA